ACAGAGAAAACAAACATTGTCGTTTTCCGAAATGGAGGTATTGTCAAAGAAAATGAGTGTTGGACATAAAAAGGGGAAATTATTGATATTGTTGACCAGTTTTGTTATTTGGGCACTCTTTTTCGTTTTAATAATAAATTTAGTTGCATGATTAAGCACGTTGCTGATCAAGGACGTAAAGCAATTTTTGGTCTCCGTACCAAATGTAATTCTTTGAATCTAAATGTTAAAACTAAGTTACATCGTTTTGTATTCTTTTTTGTGCATGTGAAGTTTGGGGTAGCCTCAAAGCAACTGAGTTGGAAAAAATCCATCTTGAGGTTTGTAAAAATCTGCTTGGTGTTAAGAAGTCTACTTGTAATGCTTTGGTTTACACTGAACTAGGACAACTGCCTCTTGTTAACACACAATTGTATAGAATGTACAAATACTGGTTTAAATTGTTAAAGACTGATAATTGCATTTTAAAAGAGGCGTATAATTTTCTGTATATAGATGCAGAGAGAGATCATCCAAAACATACTTGGCTTGTTCATATTAAGCAGAAGTTATTTGAACTAGGATTTGGATACGTGTGGATAAGGCAGTCGCCCTCCGATGTTATTCTTCTTACTAGTATTAAACAGAGAATAGAAATTCAGGATAATCAAATGTTGTTTAATTCTATGCAAATTACTAGCAAATGTTATCTGTGTAGGCATATTGTTGATAAGGTAACTCTGCAATTTAATTAACAAAATCCTTACCTAAACAAAGAATTATGATAACCAAATTTCGTCTTTCTTTCCATAACCTGGCCATAGAGTCTGGTAGATACAGAAATATAGATAGGCGTCTTCGACTTTGTTTAAATTGTAATTCCATGGATATAGAAGATAAATTTCATTTTCTGCTTGTTTGCCAGCGTTATGCAGACCTGAGGAAAAAGTATATTAAGAGTTATTTTTGGCGTAAGCCATCAGTTTTCAAAATGGTCGATCTTTTGAATTCTCAGAACCTAAAGGAATTAAATTTGCTAGGTAAGTTTATGATAGAAGCACACAAGCGTAGAATTGTATAATTGTATTGTATTTTTTATCCGTCTGACTACTGTCCGTCTCTCCGACTTTTTCAATAGGTTTGTCCGGCCGCCCGTCGTCTTGACAGATTTGCTAGTCTAGATCTGTTTTGCTACTATTTACATGTATTTCCTATGTGTAGTATAAGGTATACAAATTGTCCATTTAAATTGCAATGCTGAGCGCAATATGACATATAAATCATAATAACCTGTTTTTCTTGCTCCCTTTGTATAAGTACTTACTTTTGTTGATACTATTGGCGTTGTACTTTATTATTCTTACATAGCTATGCCTTCAAATGCATTTATTTTGTATTATTTGATTTATGTACATGTACTGATGGGCTGTAACGCCTAAAGTTAATAAATGATGATGATGAAACAATTAAACAGATCATTTATTCAATTCGGTATTCGCTTTCTAATCTATCTTTGATTTGAGCATATGGGGTGTTCTTTGAATGCCAACAATGGAGAAACAATGGTAGGACAGTTATAAACCGTTTCATATCAGCTTTCTTCACTTGGATTTTTACCTGAGATTCCAATTACCTTTAGCCTTACAGTTCATCACACAAACTTTCTCATCCAACACACACACCATCAATTAGCACCCATCACCCATATATAATCAAATCATTTCTTTTCTTGGTACTCATTATGATAATTTTTGATACATTTAATGATTCTTTCATGTTCACAGATTTAAGAAGTTGGATAAATTCAAACATACTGGGTCTGTTACAAGAATGTTTCTTAATGAAACTTTTCCTTCCTTAAATCCATATATCTTTCATATTTCTTATAAAATGATATTCATCTTCTATGTCACCACTGTTTATATCATTCCTTTCTATCACACCTCCTAATATGTCACCACTGTTTATATCATTCCTTTCTATCATACCTCCTAATATGTCACCACTGTTTATATCATTCCTTTCTATCACACCTCCTAATATGTCACCACTGTTTATATCATTCCTTTCTATCATACCTCCTAATATGTCACCACTGTTTATATCATTCCTTTCTATCATACCTCCTGATATGTCACCACTGTTTATATCATTCCTTTCTATCATACCTCCTGATATGTCACCACTGTTTATATCATTCCTTTCTATCATACCTCCTGATATGTCACCACTGTTTATATCATTCCTTTCTATCATACCTCCTAATATGTCGCCACTGTTTATATCATTCCTTTCTATCATACCTCCTAATATGTCACCACTGTTTATATCATTCCTTTCTATCATACCTCCTAATATGTCACCACTGTTTATATCATTCCTTTCTATCATACCTCCTAATATGTCACCACTGTTTATATCATTCCTTTCTATCATACCTCCTAATATGTCACCACTGTTTATATCATTCCTTTCTATCATACCTCCTTATATGTCACCACTGTTTATATCATTCCTTTCTATCATACCTCCTGATATGTCACCACTGTTTATATCATTCCTTTCTATCATACCTCCTAATATGTCACCACTGTTTATATCATTCCTTTCTATCATACCTCCTAATATGTCACCACTGTTTATATCATTCCTTTCTATCATACCTCCTGATATGTCACCACTGTTTATATCATTCCTTTCTATCATACCTCCTGATATGTCACCACTGTTTATATCATTCCTTTCTATCACACCTCCTGATATGTCACCACTGTTTATATCATTCCTTTCTATCATACCTCCTAATTTCGATATAGTATCTGTGAGGTGATCTTCTGATTTTTGCTATTTCCTTCAAATTAGAAGTTCTGCTTGATTTTCACCGTAAGATAATTCTAAATGCCAAAATCATCACCGATACATTTATACCGGGAACATTTGAAGATGAATTTAATCTTTTCACTACATTATTGTTTAAAGATATCGAACAATCTAGTTTTGATAATGTTCATAACATAGCCTAATCAGGCGTAAAAGTATCTTTATATTGCCATATGTCCCCCATACCCAATCTAAAAAGCCCATCTCTCACACCACACAAACATTCACTTCCGTTTCCTTACATGATCTCGGTAACAGGTTTGTACAGTTGGCATAATGCTTGATTTTCATCCAATACGAATTTTCCTGATAATTTCCAGAGGAACTCTACTTAGTTCCTGATTGACCATAACATTGCAGTAGATTTCTTAAGCCCTAATAATATTTTACAATAACTTATATGTAGTTTCTCAATATCTGGTGCTTTATGAAAACCCTACATTTCAGCCCCATAACTTAATATACTACAAACATATGTGTCAAAAACGTGAAGTTGTGTTTCTTTATAGACATTCGATACAGAGAACAATACTTTTCTACCTTACATAGATACATTCTGTTGAGTTTTATTAGATTTACCGTTAAGACAGAGTAAAATTCCCAAGTAGTTAAATTCGTCTACATTTTCCAAAACACAACCATCAAAGTGTCATTTATCTCCCTCTCGGAACCTACTACCATTTCTAAATACTACAACTTTGTATATATTACCATTGGAATACTATTAATAATCAATCAATCATACGAAATCAAATATATGTTACAAAAAGTATCATTAACATTCCAAATAGAAAATGAAAGTAATGCTATTTGCGGAGTATCAACAGGTAATTTTTACTGGTAAATTTACCTGCTGGAACTTAAACTATTTAAAGGGAAAATATTATAATCAGAATCAAAACCAATTGCCGTGTAGGGAAATTAAAAACTTGGCATCTCGATATACAGTAGCAGTACTCCATTGTTATATTTTAGCACATCAATCGACGAGAAGCGCTAAACGTTTGTGTTAATGAAAATACAAGTTACATCATTAGCTGAATGTTGGATTTTCAGTGGCTGATTTTAACGAAGAACTTATCTTTTACGCTAACGAGGATTTTAACGAGTGACACTATGTAGTTCTCCTGGATATCAATGTCCGCGGGTGATCAGGAAAAGTGGACTACATGAGCCCTCGTTCATTAATTAGACCATGACATTTACTAGCTATCATACAGCTATTTCATTGTAGCAATTCTTATGAATTAAATTATTATATATCTCTGTCACAGGGTAAATTGGAGTAAGTGTCTGTAACGTCCTGTTTCATCTGTATCTGTTACTGTCCGTGCATTTACATGTATGTCCCTATTTGGTGTGTTACCTGTTAGGTAGTGTCAGTGTCTGTGCTTATATGGTGTTGTCTTGAGACGTGTACATGTCCAGGTGTGACAGGTGAGGAAGTCGTGCAAGAGAGAGTGTGTAGGATAATAAAACTAGGGATACCCCTGGGTGTTGGGCAGAATCACAGATTAGCCACGTCGTTCTGGACGTCCTCGGAAGTCCAGGCGCCACATATAGCTACGGATGTAAATTACTGACGCGACCCGACGGTCGGTGTCGTGAGGTGGTTGTAATCCTAAACCAGGGGTATTAATAAAAAAACGTTCAACATACAACGAATTCGAGTTGATGGTGTGACATCTATCAAATCGATAAAATATTTTATTAAAGTCGAGATTTATCACTGGTCTGTATAATATATGTCATTAAACCATGTTGTTTTAACAATCTCCAAACTACTAAATTTCAGACCCAATGATTGTTTTTTTGTTTATCCGAGTACGAGACTAATTCACATATTACGCATTATGTAATTTCAATTTCAACGAGTTATTGCATTCAGCGACACATTTCTTCTGGTTGTGCAATATTTGTTTACATGGGAGAGTGGTCTCCCCTGATAGATAGAGTAACTGTTTTGATAAGCGTTTCTTTCGCTAATCTATTAATACCACACAATAATTACACCACACTATGAAATATCTGAAATATTATACACTTCTTTACCCAGAAGTAATAACAACTTACGTCTCAAATTATTTTTAGCTTTTCCATGATGCGAAACTACGTCTTTGTGATTACAGGAAGTTGGTGAAATGGGCCCCGTGATAAAACACGTGTGAACCCCTGAAATCGTCCTTTTCTACATTGGACGGCCATTCGTGTAAACGATGCCTGTGAGTGTTATACATTTTAACCAAATTCTACAAATACACATGAAGTCTGGGTTACTTAGTCACCATTTTAGATTCACAAGAAAATATGAAAGTAGTTCATAGCAAAAATAATACAAATAAAACGGTTACATTATGTCAAATTCGTCGTTGAAGTGACGTTTGAGTGACAGTCCTCGGAAGAAATTGGGAGTTCGTTGGATGAATTCGCTTTCATAAATTGATGCTCCGTCATGGAAACGATGGAATTATCATAATTACAAGATCTCTCAGAGACATTTTACCCAAAAATGTGATTACATTTGCGTGTCGTTCCCGAATGTTGTTACTTCAGAATGGATTTTTAGAAGGCCACGTGGGAAACATACTGGGGATGTTATAATCACTGGAATAATTCCGGATAAATAAAATCCGGATATTCACTAAAGAAATATTCATGATTATGTTTACATCATTATACATGATATCATTTTGAAAACCACAGTTCATTTTATTTTATTTAATGTGGACTTGCGTTATCAATGTAGTTATATTCAGGACTTGTCAAGTCTCTTGCATGGGTGAAATTGAAAAAAACGGATATAAGATGTCGGTATATAGAACCGTGTGAAAATTTCCTGCTGATTAAGTAGCATTTGTGAATAAAAGCAGTATTTCACATGAAGTCGGATTTTTTTTGTCCGGTTCATCAAAATTTTGCTGATTATTAAGATACAAGAGCACACAATCAGATTGTAACAGATTATCAATCTTAATTTAATATTTCTTCAGGTCCAATTTTCAGCAACCTTGTTAGATTGGGCTAGTAGGAAATGCTTTTAGTCCAGAGGTAGAATTTCTAGTTAGACTTGTGGGTCACCAGTTTGAAAAGTTATTGTAGAGATGTGTTTTTATTACTCCTTCCTATTAATATATACACACAACATGACATATGTCCATTATAATGTGGAATTGTATTGGACAGTTGCTTGAGATAAACGAACATCTGACTGAAACTGTGTTGGACCTGAAATGTAAAGAACTTGAGTATGATTGTCGATCGATACATAATCTTCTGTCATTACAGCTTGCTAAAGATTTATTGCACCCCTCCATGGAGGAGGAGAGAAGGAAAAACAAATTAAAGAGATTGGTCCAGAGTCCAAACAGCTACTTCATGGATGTGAAATGTCCAGGTTAGTATGTAATGATACACTATTTATATAGGGTTCTGACCTCTGTGATTCTATTTTTGTCCTTGTTGCCGACGATTGCCAAAATCCCCCCATCCACCCCATCCATATAAAAACACCCCAATATTAGGGATCTTTGCAATGGTTGGCATTAAGGCAATGTCTTATATAGTTTTTCAGCTGTGGGATAGTTCACATAAGATAGACATACAGCAAAGTCAAATATGACATATATATTTGTAAAAAACATTTTTGAGGTAGTTAATTACAACATTGTATGTGGTGTAGAAAATATTTTAAAAGTAGCTTATTTACAACCTTGGTTTTGAGGCAGTCCCAAGAAAGTGTTTTCTTTTCAATATGTCCGTTATTTTGAACAAGTCGAGCCCCCATCAAAAGTAGATTAATGTTGAAGCTATATCAAACAAACGTTGGGGCTGTTAACTGAATGCTGGTGTCGTGGAGGGCTTCCATGTTTATTCAGCTAGTTGGCTTCTTCTTTCAATTAAAAATCTGCGAACACTTTTAATATTTATAATGAATCAGTGCTCCAGATAGCCTGCGTGAATGCGTTTTCACGCACAATATTTCTAATTTCACGCTAGGAAAAAAATAAGATTTGCGTCATTAACCCGTGCAAAATCCGGACTCTGCGTCAATGTCCGGCTCCAATATTACGTAGTTAGAAAACTCAATAATCTAAGTCAAACAGACACTTATCAAGTAAACGAAATTCGTAACAAGCGCTTTCTTGATCGTGATTATAAACCAGTCGCATAGCAAATATGGCGCTGTCAAAAATGTTTACAAATTCAGTGTTACCCTAATATGGAAAAACCCATACACTTGTTGAAGGCAGGGGTGAAAAAACCCCTCAATTTATAAAGGTAGGAGTGAAAACCCCACATGTCAAAAAGTTATCTGGAGCACTGTGAATAAAGGTCAGACTTCTTGATGTCATTGGAATGTATCTTATGTATGCTGTTAAATAAATATTCTGTATGATTTTGATACATAAAACAAAAGTAACTAAAAACTAGAACCAATATCCATTCAGTGTAGATAAGGAAAAGTTCATCTGCTAGGTCCCAGAAGGATACTTAATAGCATGCAGGGTGTTCTGAGTAGATTAAAATCAAGGTTTAAGAAAGGGCAGCAACTCCTGAGGCAAGGTTTGGAAAATATGTGACTAGACATGTTTTGGCCTGCTAGACAGGCCATCATCAGGGCACAATTTATTAGAATAGATCTTGGTTGTGAAACTAGGAATGTTCTTTTCCGATATATTAGAGTAAATATCCAGGCTTGAAATGTGTTCAAAGTTTTGTACAAGAGATAATAATGAAAAACAGATAATGTCAGGATGTGAAGTAGCTAACATACACAGAAAATTAGTGATTTTGTTAAGGTTAGTTTCGGCTCTTAACATTATTATTCTGTATATTATAAATGATGAATTACACTAGTGTTGTTGATTAACTTTGTGAATTCAATTTGACTCTGTATTGAATTTGTTTGACCATAGGCTGCTACAAAATCACCACAGTGTTTAGCCACGCCCAGACCGTCGTATTGTGTGTCGGATGCTCCACAGTTCTGTGCCAGCCCACAGGAGGAAAATGCCGCTTAACAGAAGGTAAGAGGTTAAATTAGTGAGTGGGGATTTTTCTGTAAACATTTGAATAATTATTGAATATAATCCCACATACCTAATTAAAATTTTCGTTCCTGTTTGATCAGTGTTCCAGAATGAAATGTGTGTGTGTGTAGATATGTATGTGTGTGTGTGTGTGTGTATGGTGGGGGAGGGAGGTCGGTTGGCACTTATTTTATTTTTTACACCAACCCCCATACAATACAATTTATTCAATACCAAAGCATGTATACAATAGAGCTTTTGTGTGGTAAAAGCTCTATTGTATACATGCTTTGGTATTGAATTAATTACCAATAATCCACACAAATTTGTTTCTACAAGCAACCCCCTGCATTTTTTTTCCATGTTGACAACACTCACTAAATTTCATTCTGTTGCCCTCTATTCACAGCCAAATACACCTTGCTTCCCTGAGGAAAAATATTGTCAGTTTGCAGAAAAAAATGACATAAGAAATGTATATTTCCCCAAACGTATGAGACAGATGGTTGACTATTTCCTATTTGTGCATGCTTAAACACTAATAATTAAACATTTCAAAACAAAAACAAAAAAATAAATACATTTCCACACATTTCAAACTGGGAAAGTTGTCAATTGTTCAATCTATTAGATACCATACCTAAACTTGAAGTTTGCTTGGAATGCAGAAGATAGAAGTACTGGTTACATGCCATATTTACTTCATTTATTTCACATGTCATTATTTTCTCATAGTTTTGTCAAATCCATGCTTCTGGCAAGTCTGCTACAATATATTAAGGTGATTTGTATTACAAACATGCCACAAGTCAATTTGACTAAAACCAACCAGAATGCTTACTAATGAATTGCCCCCTTAAGGATTCCAGGTCAATTTGGTCAATTTGTGTATTCTCTAGTTATACTTCACCATTTTTTCAAACTGCATTAGTTCTTGCATCTCACAAGAGTTTCAAAACCAACACAAGTTATCTCCCTTGAACTTTTGGGTTGACAACCAATGCGCACTTGGATTAATAAATTGATTATATATTTTCGATCTCATTAAATACAAAAGAAGTTAAAAATAAGTGAATTGTTTGACCCACAAAATCTGATTTTCTGTATCAAGTTTACCCTCTTTTTAAAAAAATTTTTGGGTTCTTATTTAACCAGTCACGTATATGATTCAATTTGTAATGGCACCAGTAACACATAAAATACATTTTAGTGTTGATCCAACAACCCACAAAAAAAACCCCCCAAGTTATCTGCTGACTCCCCCACACATTTAATTATAGAACTGCCCTTACTGAAAGAAGACATATCTGACTGTAATGGTATACTCGCATTCAAATCAGAACACATATTAAAATGAGATTATATATTGAAAGATCAATTGAATCAAATTATAAGATTGAAGATAGAACTTTATGCCACCAAGTTTTAGCGTCGGGTCAAATTTTGGCTAATTAGCAGTATGATGAATTTGCTGATTTACAGTAAATGTTATATGAACAACAAACAGAAACTGTAATTATTGCAACCATATAGAAGACAATGCTGTCTGCATGAAAAGCCCTGAAATAGGTTACTGCTTAGCAGTTTTTCCAGCAATAGTAATGTAAGTTCTAGGACACGATAATACTAAATTGTCCCATTAAAATTTTAAATTTTATTCTTTTTTTTTTTTTTTTTTTTTTTTTTTTGTATAAATGCATTCTGATGATTTTAAAGTATAGATAAATCACTGAAAATTAACTCAAGATATTTATATTAAGCATTGTCTGGATGATCAATTAATCCTTTTGTTTTGAGTAAGATTTACTCCAAATCGATCTTCACATTAAGAAGCAATTGAAAGTAGTCACCAAATATATGCACTTTGTTGACACTTAATTTCGAGGATTTATATATTAATCACTAAATCTACTTGTATCTGGTTATCATTTCATGGATATGATTTTTTTTGTTAAAGAGTTGCCACAAACCTCCATGAAAATTTATGATTTTACAGTACGTCAATCTTTCACATTAGATTTTGCCACAGTCGTGTTAAATATGTCTAAAGGTGTTTGAACTGAAAAAATACTTGAATTGAAAAAACAGACAAAGGTATTGCCTTAAGTATATTTGTACTCATTAAGGTTCATGGTATCTAAGATATTTGTTGCAGCTACTGCAGGGTTTGTCAGTAGCACATTGGTGGATTTTTGGTGTACTGTGCTAGCAAAGTCGATTTTAATAAAAAGATGATCCAAATAATTCTGTTTAATAGCTGTTGTTGATTAAGGTGATATGTAAGTTGTGCTGAAGGAGGCATTAAATGGTGTCATTTCACAAAAGACTTAAAATCCTTTTCATTCTCTGTTTTTCAGGCTGTTCTTTCCGGAGGAAGCAACACTAAGTTAGATATTTATGTGTGCAAGAGGAATTTTGTGCGAGGCTGTTACCGTGCAGACGGTGATTTGGTGTGGGTGAATACTGGCCAATGGTGTTTGACAGCAGAGGGCAGCACATAGACCATGCTCTGGATCTTTGGAATGCTTGACGAGATTGTCACCACTTTTTCATCTGTAAATCGTCATCCAGCTTAATTCTGTATCATATAACAAGGGAGATTACTCTTTGATTTTAATCATTTGTAATGAAATACACTTTAAATTCTGATTTGAAAATAAAGAACATGTAAGGAGAATCAGATATGCAGTAAGGGTACTGCAATTAATTAAACAAGATTCATCATACTTTTTGTGTCTGCCATTATGCTAATAAATCTTTTGGGTATTCACAAGCACCAATATCAGGCATCCTGTTATTTTTATAGTACAGAAAAAAGTAAAAAAAAAAAAAAAATGAAATTCTGAAATATGTTAAATTTATTAATACACACAACACACATTTACTCAGTATCTACCTATGATCTATTCAATATTTAAAAAAAAATGTATGCTACATAGGAAGTTGTAAACCATTCGGGGATTTACTGTGCAAGGTTCCAGAAACAATCTTGCAGGTCCTGAACTGACTGCTGTAATTTTGAACAATAACCATGTTAAAACCTGTGCTGTCAATTTGGCAATAGTTGAGGTAGCCCCTGTTGTTGACCAATAGATCAGACAATGGTTGCATTACACAAACTCTAAACCACATTCACCAGTACTTCAGATGGCCCCTATAGTCTACAGATGGTACAGACAGCCCTTCCAGTCTTTTACCTACAGTTCAGACAGGCCTTGTAATTTATATTTTAGTTCAGACAGCCTTGTAGTTCACCTTTACTTTAGACAGCCCCAATAATTTAGAGAGCCTGTATAGTTCACCTTTAGTTCTGACAGTTAATTGTTTGTACAGTTCCCAATAGTATACAACCCTTCTAGGTAACTGACAGTTCAGACGGCCTCTATAGTTTCAATTAGTGTAGTTCATAAATATATAAAGCTGTTCCTAAAATTAATTTTACAGCCCCCATTAGTACACAACCCTTCTAGTTAACTGATAGTTCAGACGGCCTCTATAGTTTCAATTAGTGTGGTTCATAAATAAAGCTGTTCCTAAAATTGATTTTACAGCCCCCATTAGTACACAACCCTTCTAGGTAACTGATAGTTCAGACGGCCTCTATAGTTTCAATTAGTGTGGTTCATAAATAAAGCTGTTCCTAAAATTGATTTTACACCTGACCATTAGCTTAATTGGAAAATCATCAGCTTGTTCATTGTTGGTTTTCTAATTCTCTGACCTAACATCTCGTACTCGATCTAAGGAGTTTTGTTTCTACACAGGTTTTCTGATGGTAAAGAGCCTACTAGTCCATAATGCGAGATGTCCCATGGTAAGGGGTATAGTAGTGTTAGATGGTTCTCTATCCTGGTATTGCTTTATGCAAATGAATTAAAGTTGTCGTCAGTCTCCTCTCGAGGTTTCTTTCAGGAAGGGGATGGGTCAGAACCATATCAATGTAGTGGGTCTATCGAGAAACTTCCACTGGCTCTTTCCAAGCTCTTTTCTCCTGAACTTTTTAGCCAATCATCGTCATCCGACAGGTTAGTCATTTTTCCAATCATTTTAAACTTCACATACAAGTGTCCTTTTGTTCCTGATTTTGCCCTTTCGATTTTGGGATTGAAAAAAAAGATAAACTTTTCATAACTGTCATACGACATCATTTGATTTTGACAAAGATTGTTATAGATATTTACAAGTTTCCCTATTTCCTTTCGAGTCCACTTTTGCCCTTTTGATTTTGGGACAGACCAGAACCACCAAATGGGCGAAAGGCGACCATCTTGGATTTTACAAATAAAGACTGGTATGGCTGTTGAGTGGGATTTTCACATAAAAGAGCAGAAACGGGGGAAAATAAAAATATGGTGGACGCCGGAATCTCTCGTCACACTAATGACCTAGAATGATGTACCGAGGAGTGAAATTATATATTTTTTGTTACATTTGTATTAACCCGACTCCAATTTGGGGATGGTATGACACGTGCGACTTTTACATAAAAACTGAGGAAATACGGACATGTCAACAAAATTAGAGTTAAAACTCGGAATGGTGAAACTAGGTCAAACTTGAAAAAAGGAGGAAGTTTAACACGAAGTCTCTTGAAAACAAGAAAAAGACCAGGTGTTCCAGAAGGAAAACTTTCTTCATCGAGGACTCCGCTATTTTAAGAACAAGGTAAACAACATCGAACTACCAGACACACTAACGAGGATCTAACACGTCCAACTTCAATCGCACAAGAAAGTAAATAGGTTTATAAAATTTACTGAATTACATGGCTAGTGCGCATTTACACCTAGATCTTGACAATTCTTTTGATCAGTTTTGGTTTTCTTAAACACGTTTGTACTGTGCATTTTCAAAATTATTAAATAATTGATATATGTGTTTTATAATTAGCGCACATCTATATATCCTTGTATCTATTGATGTTTAATGTGACTGATTTTAACGATCACATGAGTCGGTCTTCCCTCCTAGGTTTCAACGCTGTTTACATCACTGACAGACCTAAACAGACGAAACAACTGTGAGATTAATTTTTGCCAGGTTTCATTTCAGTACTGCAGTGAAATTCAGAATATGACCATACAAATAATGATTCTAGAGCTTATTGTTGGCAGAAACCCAGATTAAATTTACGTCCATTTGAGTCCAAGACGAAGGCTGCATGATAATCTGATTATTGATCCGGGATTGGCTTACTACGCAGTACTATTACAGACTATAAATATAGTTAAATTGTCCATACAGATCGGTAGTTTTATATCTTACTTCTATGATATCCTTACTGAGGGTTATGTGTACATTACAAAGTGACGAGGGCGGGTATCCTTACTGAGGGTTATGTGTACATTACAAAGTGACGGGGGCGGGTATCCTTACTGAGGTTTATGTGTACATTACAAAGTGACGGGGGCGGGTATCCTTACTGAGGGTTATGTGTACATTACAAAGTGACGGGGGCGGGTATCCTTACTGAGAGTTATGTGTACATTACAAAGTGACGAGGGCGGGTATCCTTACTGAGGGTTTTGTGTACATTACAAAGTGACGGGGGCGGGTATCCTCACTGAGGGTTATGTGTACATTACAAAGTGACGGGGGCGGGTATCCTCACTGAGGGTTATGTGTACATTACAAAGTGACGGGGGCGGGTATCCTCACTGAGGGTTATGTGTACATTACAAAGTGACGAGGGCGGGTATCCTCACTGAGGGTTATGTGTACATTACAAAGTGACGAGGGCGGGTATCCTCACTGAGGGTTATGTGTACATTACAAAGTGACGAGGGCGGGTATCCTCACTGAGGGTTATGTGTACATTACAAAGTGACGAGGGCGGGTATCCTCACTGAGGGTTATGTGTACATTACAAAGTGACGGGGGCGGGCATCCTCACTGAGGGTTATGTGTACATTACAAAGTGATTGGGGCGGGTATCCTCACTGAGAGTTATGTGTACATTACAAAGTGACGAGGGCGGGTATCCTCACTGAGAGTTATGTGTACATTACAAAGTGACGGGGGCGGGTATCCTCACTGAGGGTTATGTGTACATTACAAAGTGACGGGGGCGGGTATCCTCACTGAGGGTTATGTGTACATTACAAAGTGACGGGGGCGGGTATCCTCACTGAGGGTTATGTGTACATTACAAAGTGACGGGGGCGGGTATCCTCACTGAGGGTTATGTGTACATTACAAAGTGACGGGGGCGGGTATCCTAACCGAGGGTTATGTGTACATTACAAAGTGACGAGGGCGGGTATCCTTACCGAGGGTTATGTGTACATTACAAAGTGACGGGGGCGGGTATCCTTACCGAGGGTTATGTGTACATTACAAAGTGACGGGGGCGGGTATCCTTACCGAGGGTTATGTGTACATTACAAAGTGACGGGGGCGGGTATCCTTACCGAGGGTTATGTGTACATTACAAAGTGACGAGGGCGGGTATCCTTACTGAGGATTATGTGTACATTACAAAGTGAGGGGGGGGGGGGACGCCGTCGGCGTGACTTTGTTGAATTCATTTTCAGCAAGTGTTTTTCAAGCAGTTAAAACACAAATGCCAAAGGACTGTTGATTATTACATTGTTGAAACATTAAGTGAATTATTATCAATATACCGCATATACCATGTGTTTCATATTTGGGACACAAAAGGGGCATGTTTGTTTGTAAAATTTGGGAGTAAGTCATGTTAATTTCTCTAGCAAATTATCCTTCATGCATGACTAGATTACAAAATGTTAATTAGCAGTTGATCAGAGTTAGATCAAGCAGAAGTATGATTTGTAAATCATATGCTGAACCGTGTTTTCATATTTAAGGGGCCCAAAGGGGGTAATTTGTATTTAGATGATATATGTCTTCAATAGACGGGCTATGTTTATCTCGAACAGCTCTTAATTGATAAGATAGTAAGACGAAGACTTTGTAACATACTTTGATGTAAGGACACCCTCATTGTTAGTACTGACAGAACAACAATGCTAGCTAAAAATTAAACCTGAAAAAACATACACTTGTCAAAAAAGTCTCTAAGGAACAATAAGCAGAGTGTACTGATGTATCTTAACTAGATGACCGTGACCTAATTTCCGTTTTAAGTGACCGCTGTGTCTGATTAAAGCTGACTTGGAAGTCACTAGCATCCTTCAGCTTGAATTCGCTTCACGTTGTAATCACTTGATCTCAAATTAATTCATAATATTCAGTATCTGTCCACATCATATAGAGTGTGTCTGTGTATGATTTCCGTCACATGAGAAGAGGACTTGGCATCCAGTCCTTATGATATTGTGTAATTTGTATTAGATCTTCTAATATGTAAATGTTGAAAACATCATATTGATTACACTCATGCACCTGCTACATTTATGTTCATCTCTTGATGTCGACCAAAATATTTATTTTTATTTAACCACGTTACATACCGTTTACGACATGTTACATACCAGTTTACGACATGTTACATACCAGGTCACGTTGTTTTGAAAGCTGGCACTTGTAGAGTGTCGTGATAACATACTTTATATTGATACAATATGTAAGTAAGTATGAGAATCCTGTAGTGATGGAGAGAAAAGTCGACCTGTCTAGATAATAAACAGGTGGTATATGTTTATCTTCACTGTACATGGATACTAATTCAGGGAGATGAGAAATGGTGTAACTTATACACAATTGAGTTGTCTACATAACTCTATTGTATATCTCATACATAGGGATACATACATATATATTTCGTAGTCATGGATACATATTTATACGTTCATATAACTACTTGATATGTATACATATTAACCTATTTGTATATTTCATTACCATGGATACGAATTATATATATCTCGTCAACATGGCAAAAATAATAAATTTGTATATCTTGTAACCATGGATACAAACAATGTATTTGTATATCTCGTTACCATGTACAAAAATAATAAATTTGTATATCTTGTAACCATTGATACAAACAATAAATTTGTATATCTCGATGCCATGGACAAAAATAATAAATTTGTATTTCTCGTAACCATGAATATATTTGTATATCTCGTTACCATGGATACAAATATTTTGTATATCTCGTCACTGTGCACAAATACCAAAATATGTGTTTAACGATATGTCTAACACATTGATTCACTAACAATAAATGCAACTGGAATGAAAAAGGTTAAATAAGATAACTAGAACAGAACAGGGACATGTACTTATTTTTAAGTCCGTGGCATTCTGTTGCCATTCATATTACACAACTCAACTGTAACATCTCCTGGTCACAGTCATTTCCTTGTATAAAAAACCTACATCTAAAGCCAGATAAGAACCATCCTTGACTCTCCATATAAAACGAACTACACTACTGCATTAAACCATCCCTTTGGAAAACGTGATGGATCGAGACAGTTATTTACAATGTGATTCATCCGTTCAGGCTGTACGGCAATATCCTTCAAGTAATCCACAAGTCAATCCACCATTACAACAGCCAGCGTCATGGCAACGCGTGATCTCCTGGTAGCAGCCGACGACTTGCCCACTGAACAACATACGGGAGTCCGTCGCTTGCCGTCTAGAACAATTAGTCTTAAGTATCTTACCCTTGGACAACCACTCCAGTACAGGTCGACCCCATTATCAAACCTCCACCAGATACAAGACATGCTAGTTAAAGCGTTACACAGTATTTTACACGTTGTCAGCTCGTTATGCAGTCAAAACAACCGGAAGTGGGGGTTTCTGTCACTTCAAACTGATCCTTTTCCGACTTCTCCATAGATTCCACAGCCTATTGATAACAAACGAAGATACGTATCAAAGGTAATTGTATTTCATTTCAAAATTATTTTATTGTTAGCGTTAACAAATGGATTGGGCACAGCCATTGCCTATAATAGCCCATTCCTTACATTTATATAGACATTTCATTAACCAGGAAGAAACATGAATATATGAATAGATCTATATAGAAACAATACATAATTCAGCCTTTTAAAATAGTATAATCTTAGAATGTAGATGTATATTATTATAATATATTTTGCCACCTTTCAAAACTGTTTAGTATTTAGATATATATATATATATATATATACATATATGTGTGTATATATATATACGGAAAATTATTTGGTTCAGGATTCAGTAAGTTTATGAATTTATAATGCTGATGCTTAACTTTCTTCCGGGTATACAAAGGGAGATAATTCTAACTCTACTGATTTTCAGTAGCAACCATAATGGCGTCCAGCAAGTGATCGGATAACAAAAGTATTTATTTAAGTTAATCAAGGTGACAAATAGGCTTCGGAGTCAGGGTATGTGATATGGGCCCACCGACTCCATGACTCACCACGCGACACCTCGCCAAAAGCTACAGGCCTATGATGACTTTTGAGTAGGGTCAACAAGCCGATAGTCCCCCTCCACTCACAGCCAAATGTTAGAATATGACACCGGACAGTGGAGCTACTTAGCAGACCATGTGGCTGGTCATAGCACTACAAAGTCAATGTCACTACATACAAAGCCATTTGCGACCAGTTACACAGGAGCTGTACGGAATCATTTAGTAATAAGTATTATAATAATTAATATAAGACAGCTAGTGAAATCTTTCAGATTTTTCTATGTATTCCAAGACACAGGAGAGAATAAAAACATTAGCATTAGCTCTTCAGTCAATGTCACCCTTTGTAAGGAGATTAATATCAATTCTGATATTACTAATTTCACTAGATATAGACTGGAGCAAAATTTGTCTTTCATTGACGTATTTCGGACAAGGAAAGAAAAAGTGACCTACATCTTCAATATAATCACCACAAATACAATTTGGATTATTAGTTAGATGATCCATAAACAAATCATAGTTAAGTTGGCTTGCAAGTCACGTAATTGACATAGTACCATATTATATTTCCTTGAACCACCATACTTAAAAATGTTGGTACAATCACACAGATTTAATGAAAGTGTACATTGTTTAAATAATTAATGTTTTAATTGTCTTAATGATGTCATTTGTAGGAAATTACAGTCTGGCTTGTTCCATAAGGTCATCATACTTTGGGAAAAACTATTCTTATAAGTAAGTTCTACATAAGGGAGATGCAAACAATCTTTGGTGTCCGAGTTGGGCATTAGTATCAGTGTTAAAATATGGTACAATGCATCCATACAGATAATGAGGACAGTCATGCTGCAGTATTTTGAAGAATGATATACACTGATGCCTTTTTTAATGTATCAATTCCAGATTCCTTGTAGATTAAGTTATGACTAGTACCTCTTCTTAGCCCAGTTATAATTCGAAGGCAGTCTAACTGAACTGATGCTAGAAGATCACTTTCACCCTGTGTACAGTTATTCCAAATAGTATTCCCATATTCAAGTAATGGCCTTATAAATTATTTGTAGATAATTTCAAGTGACTTTCTATCAAGTTTATGTTTAAGCATTCGCATAATTTGTAGTTTAGAGCAACTATTTTCATAAATATAGTTAATATGATCTGACCATGAACCATGGCTGTTAAAAACAAACCAATATGTTTATGAGAATTGACATTGATAACATTACTGTTAGACAAAATGAGGTCAGGATAAGCTTTCTCAGGGTTAATCTTCGATATCAATAGAGATTCTATTTTGTTTGGATTAAATTTAACACCCCACCTATCTGCCCATTTAGTTATTTTTCTTAAATCTTGGTGAAGAATATTTGCAGCATGTCTGCCATCATTATCTATCAGGAAGTATAGTGAGGTATCGTCAGCAAAGAGTTTGACATGGGAAAGGAGGTCATCTTCAAGGTCATTAATAAATATAAGGAATAAATATGGCCCCAAAACTGAGCCTTGTGGCATTCCTGCTTTTAGCGTTTGTAAGTTTGACTTATAACCATCTAATAACACCCTTTGCTGCCTGTCAGTTAGATAACATTTAATCCAGTTAAGAACACTGTCTGTTATACCATATTTCTTCAGTTTATGAATTAAACCACCATGCCAGACCCTGTCAAACCCTTTGCTTATATCACAAAATACTATCTTAGCTTCTTTCCCTCTCTCAAGTTGTTTTAATACTTCATCATACAATGAAATCAGTTTGTTAACAGTTGAGTCTTTAGGAAGGAAGCCAGACTGATTTCTAGAGATAATATTATTGTTAGACAAAACGTTAAAAAGATATTTAAATACAATTTTTTCAAGAATTTTACTAAAAAAAGATGTAACCGAGATAGGTCTGTAATTGCTAGGGTCACTCTTTTCCCCTTTGCCCTTATATATAGGAGTTACATTTGCCTGTTTCCAGATATTTGGTATTGTACTAGTAGAAATTGATTGATTAAAAATGATTAATAATGGCGTAACCAGTGAATCACCAATGCCTTTTACAAAATGTGGAGGGAGCGAGCCTGGACCAGGAGGTTTATTGACATTAATAAGATGTAGCTGATCACGAATATCTTCCTCAGTTATTGTGATAGTTTATTTTGGGGGTGGGACAGTCAGATGGAATATCTGGGTAAGTTTTATCAGAAGTAGAAATAGATGTGAAGTAGCAATTAAAAGCTTCTACTTTTTCAATAGGATGAGATTTTAGTTCACCAGTTTTAGTAGAGGAGCATCATTGTGAGATTTGTTGTGCAGGTTCATGACAGACTTAGCAACACGCCACCATTTGCCTGGAGGAATAGATTTGTCAATGAGAGAGTTTTGCAGCTTAAGTAGATATTTGTTCTTGGCTTCTCTTATAAGTTGAATGACTTCATTTCTTATTGTTCGAAATTTTTGCCAAGCTGAAGCCGAATTAGTATGCTTGGCTCTGTTATGTTGACGATTTCTTCTTCTGATTTGCAGCCGAATGATGTTATTCATCCATAGTTTATCATTAGGACGTATAGTGACAACTTTATGTGGTACAACGTTTTCTATGCATTTATATATTTCATCATATAGAATATTTTCAATATTATCTGTTTCATCCAGGCGTGCTTCCCAATTGATATTAGATAAGTAGGTATTAGCACTAGCAAAATCAGCATTCTTATAGTACATAATAGTTTTGTTATAAGCAGATTTTTTTAAACTTTAAAAGACAGGTAATTGTAAAAATGTTACATGGTGATACTGCTACAATCTGTGTACTTACAAATGTCAGTATTTTTCAGGTTGGTTTATCGTTATGGTACACATCGATGTTTTACATGTTTTACTGTACTGTAATGCTATACACATCACAACACTATTATTGTATAGAAAAAGGCCACAAAATCTCTTCACATTTCCACAACTGAACATAGTAATGGAATATGAAACAGAATTATCTGTTTATTGGAATATGAAAACAGTTTCATGCAATATGCTTATTGTTATAGAAATTACTACTTTTAAGTAAAAAACATAATTCTTGTATGCTTGAATGTTCATTCAAATAATGGCAAGACTCAGAATACGAGCATGTATTTGACAATATCAGAAATATATAAATTACTGGTTTTCTGATATTATGGTCTAATGCATCTCTTAACAGCTAGATATTTTTTACATTTCTTCTGAACGAAATGGTAGTTTAATATAAAGACTGTTACCTTTCGTTGTAGTACCTCTCGGAACTGCCTGTTAAATGGTAGATTAATATAAAGACTGTTACCTTTCGTTGGAGTACCTCTCGAAACTGTCTGTTAAATGGTTGATTAACATAAAGATTGTTACTTTTCGTTGTAGTACCTCTCGGAACAGTCTGTTAAATGGTAGATTAACATAAAGACTGTTACCTTTCGTTGTAGTACCTCTCAGAACTGTCTGTTAAATGGTAGATTAACATAAAGACTGTTACCTTTCGTTGTAGTACCTCTCGGAACTGTCTGTTAAATGGTAGATTAACATAAAGACTGTTACCTTTCGTTGTAGTACCTCTCAGAACTGTCTGTTAAATGGTAGATTAACATAAAGACTGTTACCTTTCGTTGTAGTAACTCGGAACAGTCTGTTAAATGGTAGATTAACATAAAGACTGTTACCTTTCGTTGTAGTACCTCTCGGAACTGTCTGTTAAATGGTAGATTAACATAAAGACTGTTACCTTTCGTTGTAGTAACTCGGAACAGTCTGTTAAATGGTAGATTAACATAAAGACTGTTACCTTTCGTTGTAGTACCTCTCGGAACTGTCTGTTAAATGGTAGATTAACATAAAGACTGTTACCTTTCGTTGTAGTAACTCGGAACAGTCTGTTAAATGGTAGATTAACATAAAGACTGTTACCTTTCGTTGTAGTACCTCTCGGAACAGTCTGTTAAATGGTAGATTAACATAAAGACTGTTACCTTTCGTTGTAGTACCTCTCGGAACAGTCTGTTAAATGGTAGATTAACATAAAGACTGTTACCTTTCGTTGGAGTACCTCTCGGAACAGTCTGTTAAATGGCCGATTCACGTTGAGATTTGTCTTGGCACTGACGAGGTAGTAACGTAAATTGTGCTGGTCCGCTATCTAAGAATAAAAAAAGATGTGGGTATTAATTTTCTGAACCTTTTGTGTTTGTTATTTTGATCTACCAGAGTTATAAAGTATTAATCTTTGATGGCAGATGGGGGCCGAAAATTGTAATCGTCAGCTACCGCGAATGGTTTAGGATGGAAGTGACAACAAATTCACACGGATGTGCCAGTTGGGGTCTGGTACTTCACGAATTCCATTCAAACTCTATCCGCTGCTATCTTCACCGGCTGTCAATAAAAAACCGTCTAACATGTGAAATACCACATAATTTATAATTCATAATTTACCAAGTTGGTTTGTTCTCTTTTTTTTCTTTGTAAATCTAATTCAGCAACTATTTAACTTCATCATTTATTGTGTATATCGCAGTCTGATTCTAAGCCCATATATAAAATCAGTTTTAACAGAACTTCCTATCACACAGCACAGTCTCGTTGTCAAACTTTATTAAGATTTCATATTAAGGGAGATGCTAATGGGCTCCATGCCTCCTGTTACATTTTTTCTTGAGCAAAATACCAAATATTAATGTGTCCCGCACATTTGAAAAAAAAATGTCTGCGCTTGCTTGCATTTTGTTGGCAGATTCAATCATCGTGATTCAGGTAGAATTGAGAAATGAAAATATTTCCTAAGAGTTTTTGGTTATTTATGCCGTATCAGTTTAACGTGAATAACTTAAGTAGTTTAAAAAACATATGTTTTCCAAGAAGTTTTATACTAGTAAATTAAAATTGTCTCAATTACTCGAGGTCCTTTAAGAAATATGTATAATGATACCGAACAGTAGATATTAAATATTAATTCACCACTTTTAGTTCCCTCGCCACCTCTGATACTGAACAGTAGATATTAAATATTAACTCACCACTTTGAGTTCCCTCGCCATCTCTGATACTGAACAGTAGATATTAAATATTAACTCACCACTTTGAGTTCCCTCGCCATCTCTGATACTGAACAGTAGATATTAGATACTAACTCACCACTTTGAGTTCCCTCGCCATCTCTGATACTGAACAGTAGATATTAAATACTAACTCACCACTTTGAGTTCCCTCGCCATCTCTGATACTGAACAGTAGATACTAAATATTAACTCACCACTTTGAGTTCCCTCGCCATCTCTGATACTGAACAGTAGATACTAAATATTAACTCAACACTTTGAGTTCCCTCGCCATCTCTGATGCTGAACAGTAGATATTAAATACTACATGTAACTCACCACTTTGAGTTCCCTCGCCATCTCTGATACTGAACAGTAGATATTAAATACTAACTCACCACTTTGAGTTCCCTCGCCATCTCTGATACTGAACAGTAGATATTAAATACTAACTCACCACTTTGAGTTCCCTCGCCATCTCTGATACTGAACAGTAGATATTAAATACTAACTCACCACTTTGAGTTCCCTCGCCATCTCTGATACTGAACAGTAGATATTAAATATTAACTCACCACTTTGAGTTCCCTCGTCACCTCTGATACTGAACAGTAGATATTAGATACTACATGTAACTCACCACTTTGAGTTCCCTCGCCATCTCTGATACTGAACAGTAGATATTAAATACTAACTCACCACTTTGAGTTCCCTCGCCATCTCTGATACTGAACAGTAGATATTAAATATTAACTCACCACTTTGAGTTCCCTCGTCACCTCTGATACTGAACAGTAGATATTAAATATTAACTCACCACTTTGAGTTCCCTCGTCACCTCTGATACTGAACAGTAGATATTAAATATTAACTCACCACTTTGAGTTCCCTCGTCACCTCTGATACTGAACAGTAGATATTAAATATTAACTCACCACTTTGAGTTCCCTCGCCATCTCTGATACTGAACAGTAGATATTAAATATTAACTCACCACTTTGAGTTCCCTCGCCACCTCGTCCCGTCGACTACCTTGACATAGATCTAGTTTGTTTCCTACCAGTACGACCTCTTGACAGTTGTGCTCCTAGCAAAGATAAAATAACAAATATGACCTCATTGTTGTGACTTCTACTTGTTTGGTTCGAAATCTTTCAGGCTCGTATCTGTGTGGCAATAATTTGTTTTAATATTAAATCGAATTCGTCAACAGATTCAGAAACACGTATTTATAACACAACCAGTTAGAACATGTATGTGTGATGCTTTGATGACTGTTTTAACTATATAATCCTATTAACGTCTCGTCACATCTTATTTATTATTATTATATTACGTGTAGTATAATAATTATTGTGTGCTATAAAATGATACATTTGTATGTCACGTGTCTTTGTATGTTTAGTGAGACTTTCCGCTGTTGTTTTAACGACCACAGACAGGCTAGGTAATATCAGGTGTCTAGAATGTACTATCAGAACCAAGCACAGAGTAGATAAGAAGGAATTGGATATGATGATATGTAAATCCTAAATTGTGATATAATATTTGTTTATCGACATTACTACAACCAGGGCCTTGATGAGTAGGTGTGCCCCAGCAGAAAAAAAGAAAGAAAGAAATTTGAAATAATTATAAATATGACGTCATAATATTTACCCTTGCAGCATTGATCCAGTCTGTCAAAGCATTGAAGCTCTTTTCACTTGTGACGTCATACAGAATAATGACACCCTAAAAAATTTAAAACCAGGAAAATACAATCTATATAACAAGTACCTGTCTATAAATGTTATCTCTATATAACAAGTACCTGTCTATAAATGTTATCTCTATATAACACGTACCTGTCTATAAATGTTATCTCTATATAACACGTACCTGTCTATAAATGTTATCTCTATATAACACGTACCTGTCTATAAATGTTATCTCTATATAACAAGTACCTGTCTATAAATGTTATCTCTATATAACATATAACAAGTACCTGTCTATAAATGTTATCTCTATATAACACGTACCTGTCTATAAATGTTATCTCTATATAACAAGTACCTGTCTATAAATGTTATCTCTATATAACACGTACCTGTCTATAAATGTTATCTCTATATAACAAGTACCTGTCTATAAATGTTATCTCTGTTATCTCTATATAACACGTACCTGTCTATAAATGTTATCTCTCTATAACAAGTACCTGTCTATAAATGTTATCTCTATATAACACGTACCTGTCTATAAATGTTATCTCTACATAACATGTACCTGTCTATAAATGTTATCTCTATATAACAAGTACCTGTCTATAAATGTTATCTCTATATAACAAGTACCTGTCTATAAATGTTATCTCTATATAACACGTACCTGTCTATAAATGTTATCTCTATATAACAAGTACCTGTCTATAAATGTTATCTCTATATAACACGTACCTGTCTATAAATGTTATCTCTATATAACAAGTACCTGTCTATAAATGTTATCTCTATATAACACGTACCTGTCTATAAATGTCATCTCTATATAACACGTACCTGTCTATAAATGTTATCTCTATATAACACGTACCTGTCTATAAATGTTATCTCTGTATAACACGTACCTGTCTATAAAGGTCATCTTTATATAACAAGTACCTGTCTATAAAGGTTATCTCTGTATAAATGTTATCTCTAGTACCTGTCTATAAATGTTATCTCTATATAACAAGTACCTGTCTATAAATGTTATCTCTATATAACAAGTACCTGTCTATAAATGTTATCTCTATATAACAAGTACCTGTCTATAAATGTTATCTCTATATAACAAGTACCTGTCTATAAATGTTATCTCTATATAACACGTACCTGTCTATAAATGTTATCTCTATATAACAAGTACCTGTCTATAAATGTTATCTCTGTATAACACGTACCTGTCTATAAATGTTATCTCTATATAACAAGTACCTGTCTATAAAGGTTATCACTATATAACACGTACCTGTCTATAAAGGTTATCACTATATAACACGTACCTGTCTATAAATGTTATCTCTGTATAACACGTACCTGTCTATAAATGTTATCTCTGTATAACACGTACCTGTCTATAAATGTTATCTCTGTATAACACGTACCTGTCTATAAATGTTATCTCTATATAACACGTACCTGTCTATAAAGGTCATGTCTATATAACACGTACCTGTCTAGAAAGGTTATCACTATATAACACGTACCTGTCTATAAATGTTATCTCTGTATAACACGTACCTGTCTATAAAGGTCATCTCTGTATAACACGTACCTGTCTATAAATGTTATCTCTATATAACAAGTACCTGTCTATAAATGTTATCTCTGTATAACACGTACCTGTCTATAAATGTTATCACTATATAACACGTGTCTATAAATGTTATCTCTGTATAACACGTACCTGTCTATAAATGTTATCTCTGTATAACACGTACCTGTCTATAAATGTTATCTCTGTATAACACGTACCTGTCTATAAAGGTTATCACTATAACACACGTACCTGTCTATAAATGTTATCTCTATATAACAAGTACCTGTCTATAAATGTTATCTCTATATAACAAGTACCTGTCTATAAATGTTATCTCTGTATAACACGTACCTGTCTATAAATGTTATCTCTATATAACAAGTACCTGTCTATAAATGTTATCTCTGTATAACACGTACCTGTCTATAAATGTTATCTCTATATAACAAGTACCTCTCTAGAAAGGTTATCTCTGTATAACAAGTACCTGTCTATAAAGGTCATCTCTATATAACACGTACCTGTCTATAAAGGTTATCACTATATAACAAGTACCTGTCTATAAAGGTTATCACTATAACACACGTACCTGTCTATAAATGTCATCTCTGTATAACAAGTACCTGTCTATAAAGGTTATCACTATAACACACGTACCTGTCTATAAAGGTCATCTCTATATAACACGTGCCTGTCTATAAATGTTATCTCTGTATAACAAGTACCTGTCTATAAATGTTATCTCTATATAACAAGTACCTGTCTATAAAGATCATCTCTATCTAACACGTACCTGTCTATAAATGTCATCTCTATATAACAAGTACCTGTCTATAAAGGTCATGTCTATCTAACACGTACCTGTCTATAAATGTCATCTCTATATAACAAGTACCTGTCTATAAATGTCATCTCTGTATAACAAGTACCTGTCTATAAAGGTTATCACTATATAACAAGTACCTGTCTATAAATGTTATCTCTATATAACAAGTACCTGTCTATAAAGATCATGTCTATGTAACAAGTGCCTGTCTATAAAGGTCATCTATATGTAACAAGTACCTGTCTATAAAGGTCATCTCTATATAACAAATATCTGTCTATAAAGGTCATCTCTGTATAACAAGTACCTGTCTATAAAGGTCATCTCTGTATAACAAGTACCTGTCTATAAAGGTCATCTTTATATAACAAGTACCTGTCTATAAAGGTCGTATCTATATAACAAATACCTGTCTATAACAGTCATCTCTATAAAACGAGTACCTGTCTGTAGAGGTCATAAAGGTTATAAAAGCTGGTTAAACCCAAAAAGAAAAAATCTCGGGTCCCTGTGAATTCGGAATGTTAGGCCCTTAGAATCACTAGAAGGTCGAAATAGCTAAAAAGAATGCAATCTAAAACTAACTAGATTTTGCACTTATAATACTCACATCGGCGTCATTATAGAGCGGGCCTATAAGACTCCTTTGGTAGGGATGACCAGCCGTATCTCTGTAACGACCAGATATACAAACTGGACTGTTTTATCATCATTAGTTTGACTGTAATCTCTCTTGGTAGAGGCACTTCTTTTGATATTAAGCCTTTACCATTCAGTGTCGCTATATATATACATGTTTGATGTCATACTATCACACTTCCTTTAGAATTATCTAATATAAAAATAAATCTATTTACTTATGTTGTTAAAGCACATTTTCTCCTGTATCTTCACATTTCTATTTCGCGTTAAGTAGTATATCTCCGTGATTCTGCAATAAGTATTACGGAAGCTTTTCAAAATGACAAAATTAATACAATTTTCATCAACTATACATTTCTATGCGCAATGATTTCAGAAAATGTGTTAACATGAATTGATTGGTCGGGTACTTACATAAGTTTGAGATTCACGGTTTGATCATGGACTTTGATTTGCTTTAGATAGATATCACCACCTACAACAGTGACACAGATTCTATCCTTAATATCACCTACAACAGTGACACAAATTCTATCCTTAATATCACCTACAACAATTACACAAATTCTATCCTTAATATCACCTACAACCGTGACACACATTCTATCCTTAATATCACCTCCTACAACATTGACACACACTCTATCCTTAATATCATCACCTACAACAGTGACACAAATTCTATCCTTAATATCACCACCTACAGCAGTGACACAGCTATCCTTAATATCATCACCTACAAACAGTGACACAAATTCTATCCTTAATATCACCACCTACAACAGTGACACAAATTCTTTCCTTAATATCACCACCTACAACAGTGACACAAATTCTATCCTTAATATCACCTCCTACAACAGTGACACAAATTCTATCCTTAATATCACCTCCAACAACAGTGACACAAATTCTATCCTTAATATCACCACCTACAACAGTGACACACATTCTATCCTTAATATCACCACCTACAACAGTGACACAAATTCTATCCTTAATATCACCTCCTACAACAGTGACACAAATTCTAACCTTAATATCACCACCTACAACAGTGACACAAATTCTATCCTTAATATCACCACCTACAACAGTGACACAAATTCTATCCTTAATATCACCTCCTACAACAGTGACACAAATTCTATCCTTAATATCACCTCCATCAACAGTGACACAAATTCTATCCTTAATATCACCTCCTACAACAGTGACACAAATTCTATCCTTAATATCACCACCTACAACAGTGACACAAATTCTATCCTTAATATCACCTCCTACAACAGTGACACAAATTCTAACCTTAATATCACCTCCTACAACAGTGACACAAATTCTATCCTTAATTTCAATTCGGCATACAACTGACAAAAGTCCTATCGTTACCACCATCATCTACAATAGTGACACAAAGCCTATCCTTCATGATATAACAGCACACAGAGCAGTGCTACTTTTATTCTTAATAAGATTAGGTTTTTCGAAAATTGATGTTGATATCACGTGACCGGATATACATACCTCTGGTGTGGAAGTAACCCGGATGGAAATCCCCGTAGATGAAGCGTAAAGATAGGGATGTCTTTCCCACTGTATTGTTTCCTATCACCGCAATCTTTACATCACGTGCTAACTTAGATCGAGGATGGTACATCTCCTTGGTTACTGGATTAAATTACAAGATTAGGTAAATTATACACAATATAATGGCCATTTAAATCACATTAACAACATAACCCATACCGGTCACGTTCCGTTGAAATGCATACCTAATATGGCGATGAATTAATTAGATCATATAGTTTTCATTCATAAGACTTCATAAGACTGATAATGGGAAATTATGGGAAGCTATATATATATCCTGAAATAAATACCCTATCTATCGAGCATTTCATCAAATAATCAGTTGACCACTTATCAGTGTATATATTATATATATATATAGTTTACTGATATAAAATAGATTTCCTGTCGCGGCGCCCACGATGTTTAACTATATCCTGATCCCTGATAAACAGATCACGAGTTATTTTGTAATGTTATGACTTTTGTAACTACATCAATCACATTGTCTATATAGTTCATAGACTACAAATGATCCAGTAGTATAGAAGTATATGAGGTACTTCACTGTGTATTCTGGTTACAATACAAACTTTATAAACGGAGTAAATTATCGGTATATTAATCCGGTTGTTTTCTGTGTAGAGCAATCAGATAATAATACCCATGTTTAAAACATTGGGAAGAAACAAGAATAAACGTCAATTATAGAATAACATCGATATCTTTATCAGAGACACCACCTCCCCTCGAGGGTCCTCGGCTTTTATTAGTTTTAAATTAATTTTTAATAGGTCTAGCATTTATTATAGTATTTTCCAGTTACACGTAAATATTAAAATGGAATATGACGATTATTAATTTTTGTTTGCAAAATTATTAAACAAACCTTATTTAATTAATAAGTAAACGATAGAAATTAAAAATTACAAGCAATGCTGGTGAATCAACAATACCCAAACAACTTGTTTCTCTCAGTACCTAGATGTATACACTATGATAGTATGAGGTCTGTGACAGAACAATGCCCAAACAACATGTTTCTCTCAGTACCTAGATGTATACACTATTTCAGTATGAGGTCTGTGACAGAACAATGCCCAAACAACATGTTTCTCTCAGTACCTAGATGTATACACTATTTCAGTATGGGGTCTGTGACAGAACAATCCCCAAACAACATGTTTCTCTCAGTACCTAGATGTATACACTATTTCAGTATGAGGTCTGTGACAGAACAATGCCCAAACAACATGTTTCTCTCAGTACCTAGATGTATACACTATTTCAGTATGGGGTCTGTGACGGAATAATCCCCTACAACATGTTTCTCTCAGTACCTAGATGTATACACTATTTCAGTATGAGGTCTGTGACAGAACAATGCCCAAACTACATGTTTCTCTCAGTACCTAGATGTATACACTATGACAGTATGGGGTCTGTGACAGAACAATGCCCAAACAACATGTTTCTCTCAGTACCTAGATGTATACACTATTACAGTATGGGGTCTGTGACAGAACAATGCCCAAACTACATGTTTCTCTCAGTACCTAGATGTATACACTATTACAGTATGAGGTCTGTGAAGGAACCAACCCCCAAACAACACGTTACTTGGCGTATAAGCTACTTTAGTATGAGAACTGCGAAGGAAACAACTTAATCCATAGTAATTATTAATGCCAAGCGTTTTGTCATTGGACGTTTTTATTTCTGTATTTTTGGTATTCCGAAAAAAGAGTGATGTCCGGCCGAATCTCCCGGGCCCCTCTATACCCGTCTATGACGGCACAATGGAATAATTTGAAATGTTGAAAATAGGTGACGTCATGAACCAATAAGGTCAGAAAAGAAACGAAGAGATCAAGAGGAAATTACGATCCGGTAAAAGAAAAATGACATGACATTGAACCTAATGGTCGAAATAGAGATTTATTTCGACCTTACATCCGGGCAAGCAAGAGTGATTAATGAAAGCTGACAGTTTGTAGTCAAATATTATAACATAACTCGTGTTTTATTGGGTTTAGTTTAATATATATCTTTTATACGTAATTAAAATATTCTTTATAGAAAAAAGATTTATGTAAATTTCCTACATAATTTCCTTACAGTGAATCTTTAGATAAATCTATATCTATACACATATAATCTGTTCACATTTACTATAAGTCTTAGATAAGTAAGACGACAGGTATAAATTACAGACGATATATACTCCAGGTGATAGCGAGTATACATATTTAGAGACAGAAATAGTAATCTATATTTAAACATGTATAGGGAAAACCGGCCACACATTGTCAGAATATTAGTTATGACAGAGACAGTGTGAGAATATTAGTTACGACAGAGACAGTGTGAGAATATTAGTTACGACAGAGACTGAGTGATAATATAAGTCACGACAGAGACAGTTTGAGAATATTATTTATGACAGAGACAGAGTGAGAATATTAGTTACGACAGAGACAGTGTGAGAATATTACTTACGACAGAGACAATTACGACAGAGACGATGTGTGAATATTAGTTATGACAGAGACAGTGTGAGAATATTACTTACGACAGAGACAGTGTGAGAATATTAGTTACGACAGAGACAGTGTGAGAATATTACTTACGACAGAGACAATGTGAGAATATTAGTTACGACAGAGACGATGTGTGAATATTAGTTATGACAGAGACAGTGTGAGAATATTAGTTACGACAGAGACAGTGTGAGAATATTACTTACGACAGAGACAATGTGAGAATATTAGTTACGACAGAGACGATGTGTGAATATTAGTTATGACAGAGACGATGTGTGAATATAAGTTATGACAGAGACAGTGTGAGAATATTACTTACGACAGAGACAGTGTGAGAATATTACTTACGACAGAGACGATGTGTGAATATTAGTTATGACAGAGACAGTGTGAGAATATTAGTTATGACAGAGACAGTGTGAGAATATTAGTAACGACAGAGAATTATGACAGAGACAATGTGAGAATATTAGTTACGACAGAATATTAGTTATGACAGAGACGGTGTGAGAATATATGTTATGACAGAGACAGTGTGAGAATATTAGTTATGACAGAGACAGTGTGAGAATATAAGTTACGACAGAGACAGTATGAGAATATTAGTTACGACAGAGACAGTGTGAGAATATAAGTTATGACAGAGACAGTGTGAGAATATTAGTTACGACAGAGACAGTGTGAGAATATTAGTTATGACAGAGACAGTGTGAGACTATGAGGACAGAGACAGTGTGAGAATATTAGTTACGACAGAGACAGTGTGAGAATATTAGTTATGACAGAGACAGTGTGAGAATATTAGTTACGACAGAGACAGTGTGAGAATATTATTTACGACAGAGACAGTGTGAGAATATAAGTTATGACAGAGACTGTGTGAAAATATTAGTAACGACAGAGACGGTGTGAGAATATTAGTTACGACAGAGACAGTGTGAGAATATAAGTTACGACAGAGACTGGGTGAGAATATTAGTTACGACAAAGACAGTGTGATAATATTAGTTATGACAGAGACAGTGTGAGAATATTAGTTATGACAGAGACAGTGTGAGAATATTATTTACGACAGAGAGTTATGACAGAGACAATGTGAGAATATTAGGACAGAGACAGTGTGAGAATATTAGTTACGACAGAGACAGTGTGAGAATATTAGTTATGACAGAGACAGTGTGAGAATATTAGTTATGACAGAGACAGTGTGAGAATATTAGTTATGACAGAGACAGTGTGAGAATATTAGTTACGACAGAGACAGTGTGAGAATATTAGTTATGACAGAGACAGTGTGAGAATATTAGTTATGACAGAGACAGTGTGAGAATATTAGTTATGACAGAGACAGTGTGAGAATATTAGTTATGACAGAGACAGTGTGAGAATATTAGTTACGACAGAGACAGTGTGAGAATATTAGTTATGACAGAGACAGTGTGAGAATATTAGTTATGACAGAGACAGTGTGAGAATATTAGTAACGACAGAGAGTTATGACAGAGACAATGTGAGAATATTAGTTACGACAGAGACAGTGTGAGAATATTAGTTACGACAGAGACAGTGTGAGAATATTAGTTATGACAGAGACAGTGTGAGAATATTATTTACGACAGAGAGTTATGATAGAGACAGTGTGAGAATATTAGTTACGACAGAGACAGTGTGAGAATATTATTTACGACAGAGAGTTATGACAGAGACAGTGTGAGAATATTAGTTACGACAGAGACAGTGTGAGAATATTAGTTATGACAGAGACAGTGTGAGAATATAAGTTACGACAGAGACAGTGTGAGAATATTAGTTATGACAGAGACAGTGTGAGAATATTAGTTATGACAGAGACAGTGTGAGAATATTATTTACGACAGAGAGTTATGATAGACACAGTGTGAGAATATTAGGACAGAGACAGTGTGAGAATATTAGTTATGACAGAGACAGTGTGAGAATATTAGTTATGACAGAGACAGTGTGAGAATATTAGTTATGACAGAGACAGTGTGAGAATATTAGTTACGACAGAGACAGTGTGAGAATATTAGTTACGACAGAGACAGTGTGAGAATATTAGTTATGACAGAGACAGTGTGAGAATATTATTTACGACAGAGAGTTATGATAGAGACAGTGTGAGAATATTAGTTATGACAGAGACAGTGTGAGAATATTATTTACGACAGAGAGTTATGATAGAGACAGTGTGAGAATATTAGTTATGACAGAGACAGTGTGAGAATATTAGTTATGACAGAGACAGTGTGAGAATATTAGTTGTTGATTGCTGATTGTCTCTACTGGTTTGTATAGTTTCTGATAATACTAGTTGCCTTGATTTTGTGTGAATTAGTTAACAGTTTAAATATTGTTATACGGTAAAATCAGTGATATAACGTCCTAACTTACATATTTACCTGTGTAATTATAAATCCATGACGTGTTTACCTATTTCGTCTTCGATCAAGTCATCCTTGAAAGCTCCAAATGTCATCCGTCCAAGATTTATTCACGAAAAGCGAAAATTCAGGCTGAGACGTCC